CGCGCGCGGGGTGTCGACCCCCCCTCCCCGCCAGCACCGAGCAAGTCTGATGGGGAAGCAAAAAGCCCCTGGCAGCACATGGAGTTCCCTGTGGCGGTGTCTGTCTGAGCTCCCACTGCACACAGCCAGTGAACAGAGAGAGCAGCACTCAGGTCTGGCTGAGGATGGAGGTGCAGGGCAGATGTGGAGGTCCAGAGAGAGGAAGGTGTAGGCTGCCTATAGGACTCAGGTGGGAGAGGGGCAGGGGCAGGGTGGGTCACAGCAGGCAAGTTCAGGGACAGGCAGGAGGGTCTCCAGGAGAAGCTGCCAGCCGTGTTGGTCAGTACACTGACCCCTGTGCTGGACAAACCCGCTCACAGCCCACCCAGGGATTTCCAGGAAGCAGAAAAGTGGGGGAGGGGAGTAGACAAGTTCCTGGAACCCAGGGGAGCTGAGCTCACTCCCCAGGAGCAATGCCAGGCCGCAGCAGCAACTGAGAGCACAGGAAGCTGGTCCTAAGAGGAAGGGCACGTGGGGACCTACGGCAGATGGCACATGGACGTGGACACACTCCTGCGGCGACCCTGAAGACCCTGCCTTGGAAGGGCCAGGTCTGGCTCTCAACATTCCATCACAGAGGTACCCACCAGAGCTACAATGCCAGCGGCACATGGAGCTTAACTTTAGAGCAGCCATACTTTTACAAAGGTACTAGGTGAAATTACAAACTATGTTTCATCTATCCCAACGTATCGAAAGTGCTACAATTTTAACATGCAGTTAATGGAAAGTAGTAATCACACTTTACTTTTTTTTAAATGAAGTCTTCAAAATTCCCATGCACCTGACCAGCCTTTATGCTGGACAGCGTAGGTCTAAAGGCACTGCATAGGGGAGCTAAGTTAGGGACACGAGCTGGTGCCATAAAACGACAGGCCACCCCACGGCACAGCAGCCTCCCGGCTCAGGGGACCCCATGGCCTAGACTCGCAGTCCTTCCTAACGGGGATGCGAGCACCAGCTGGCCAGGTTGCCCCCAGAAAAAGGCAGCTCCTGCAAGGGTGAGAGGTGGCTGCACTGGGCCCAGCTTCCCAAGGCTCCCGGCCCATGTGAGAGCCCTGGGAGACGGGGAGGCGACCAGTCCTTTCAGCAGCTCCTCTCCACACCCTTCCTCCCCTCATTCCCAACAGACAGAAAGAGACAAGAGGCAGGGAACCTGAGCGAACTGGGTCTGCATCCGGAGCGACCCTGGACCCCCTTCTGGCCTGTGTGACCACCACCCTGGTCTTGTGTGAGTGCCTCAGACAAGACAGAAGCCAGGACAGCAAAGGCCAGGCCTGAGGATGCCATCAACGCTGACCCAGGAAGGGAGAAGAGAAGCGGCTGGACATCACCCTGCAGGGTTCGCTAGGTCCACTGCCCCAGGTGCTCCCAGCCTGATGAGACAACCAGAGAGCCAGTGGCTCTGCTCGCACTGGCCCCAACAGAGATCGGCAGTGGGAGTGGCACCAGGATGGCACCTCTGCACTTAAACAGAAGCCCCTACTGGCGAGCGTGCCAGGGAGGCCTCAACACTGGATGGAAGGACAGGGAGATGTGGGGACAAAGGGATCTGCAGAGTGGAGGGAGGGGTGGGTTGGGCCAGTGACAGCACTGAGCAGGCTCAGGCGGTGCTGATGCCCGGGCAGTGACACACTCCCTGCACCAGCGCACCGGCCCTCAGCCACAGTGGAATCCGGGAGGCCCAGCAAGTCAGCACCAGGTCCATTAGTGAGCCATCACTGGCCCGAGGTGACCTTCCTCTGGCGCCTGGGTGCCTTCCAGGATGCCAAGCCACTGAGTCAGGGCGGCACTCAGCCAGACGCTCCCGCTCAGCTGGGGTAAGCATCAGGGCGCGATCAGAGGCCGGCGAGGTGGGGGGTGCTGACTGAGAGGGGGCACCTCCTGGGGCACCATCCCTCCTGGAGCTGCAGGGCATGGAAAGCTCCACAGGGTCCTGCGGAGACGTGGCCATGGCCACCGCAGGCACATGCTGGGGTCTCCTCTGCAGGACAGAGGGAGCCCGGCACCTGGAGCGCCTCGCCCTGCAGGCTTCAGGAGATGCCCATCCCTGCCTTGGGACGGGCAGAGACCTCCTGCCCCACCCAGCCCCAGCTGAGGACTGGGAAAGGGAGCGTCCACAGCTCCCTGGAGGGTTGGATGGTCTGTGGGAGCAGACCATAATGCACTGAGAATCCTACAGTGGGCACCCTGAGAACGTCCAGGGCGGTGTGGTCCAGTGCAGAGCCCACACCTCAAGGACACCGATTCCCTCCCCTCAGAGAAGCACAACACAGAAGGCCAGGGAGCCCTGCCCCGAACGGAGCCCACCCCAACTGGCCCCTCCTTGCTGCAGCCATGCAGGATGGGGAAGGACAGGACTGCACAGCCCGGCACCAGCCACACCGAGGCTCGCTGGAGCCCACGGCACCTTGTGGGGCCTCAGAGTCCTCCAGCCCTCACAGCTCGACCCACAGAACAGTCCTCAGTCCTCAAGGACAGCAGCCTCCCAGGGAACTGCACTTCCTGCTTTGTTTTACTGATTTCACCTACAGGGCCCGTGAAGCTGACGGTCACCTTTCCAGAAGGTGCAGAGCCAGGGTGACTGCCCCATCTGTGAGGACACTGGAGGAAGACACAGGGAGAGCAAAGAAACCACTGTGGTCCTTTCCAAGAATTCCTTTCTCGGCTGAGCAGGGAAGCCTCTGGGAGGGCGAAGAAGCGCATCCTCCTCCTCCTCCTCCTCCTCCTCCTCCAGAACAGAGAGCTCCTCCCGAAAGCACCGTCTGTATAAACTTTCACCATGAGGCAAGCAAAAGCTGGGTGAGGTGGAACATGCCTGTGATCCCAGCCCTCTGGGAGGCTGAGGCAGAAGGATCCCAGATTCATTCCCAGACTAGACAATTTAGGGATTTTGTGAGATCCTGTCTCAAAATAAAAAATTAGAAAAAAAAAAGGTGGGTGGTGGGAAATAGGGCTGTAGCTTAGTGTGAAGGTCCTGAGCTCAGTTTCCAGCACTGAAAAAGGGCGGATGGGGGAAAAATAAAAGAAAAAGCCACAAGAAAAGGACTGACGACAGACGAGCAGATCCATGTCAGGGAACAGGGGTATCAGCTGTGCAAATGAGCTGAGCAGCCCTACACTTAACACCGAGGCAAGTGAGGTCAGAGCAGCTCACTCTCAGAAAATCACAGATCAGAGAGCTGGAGACTGCCTGAATCCTGCCCAAGATCTGTTTCTTTTTCTTTTCTTTCTTTTTTTTTTTGAGACAGGGTCTCACTATGCAGTTGAGACTGACCAGGAACTCACTGTGTAGCCCAGGCTGGTCTCGAATTCACAGCGATCCTCCTGCCTCAGCCTCCCAAGTGCTGGGATTACAGGCATGCGCCACCAAGCCCAGCTAAGATCTGTTTCTTTACAAGCAGGAGAAACAGGTGTTTCAACCCTGCACCCCGAAGCACAGCAGGACAAAGTACTGACTCAGTCCAGAACGCCGGGCTCCGCACACTCCCAGGTGAGCCACACATCCAGGAGTCCCAACACATGCACACGCTGGGGCCCTTCTCAGAGCCAGAGATGTGGGCCCCGGCCGATTTCTTCCCAAATGCAGTCATCTCATCACGGTTGGTTGACGGCGCAGTCCAGAAACTGGTGCCCTGGACACTCCCGACCCACTTCCCCGACACCACTCAGGACATCCTGGTCCTCACCCGTCCACGCAGCATCCCCTGGATGCCCATGGTCACCAGGGCCGGGCACCTCTTCCACACTGAGCCAGCGCTCTGCACCCACTGCCCCAGAGCCTCCTCTTCCCTGCCAATGTGGCACTGCCTGCTTTTCGGTGCCGTGGGCTTTCTCTGCACCACCTCCGGCGCTTCCAGGGCCCGCCCCTCTCGACACTGGTCACAAAACACAATGGCAGTATGTGGAGAAGACTGCACCAGCTCCCTTTCTCTCCCGCTCGGTCTTCTCACCTGTATCCTAGGGTCCAGTTCTTCCTCCTCTCTTGGTGACAACTTGGACTCACTGCTACTGCTGCCACGGCCGCCAGGATCCTCTGGCCCTGGGCTCCTGGGGACTTCATCCTCCACCACCTCCGGCCGCAGCTCACCCTGCGGGGTCTCCCGCCCCCCTGGGACCTGCCTGAACTCTGCCATCGGCCCGGGGAGGGCAGAGCCCTAAGCACAAGACAAGACCGACATGCTGGGTCCAGGGCCTCAGCTTGGGGCTTCCTGGGCTTTGGACGGGAAGGACAGGCTTCTTGGCTCAAAAGGCGGCAGACCAGGGCGCACAGGAAGGTCACTCGCAGTCAGAGGCCGCGAGTCCGGCTGCCCGGGGTTCCTGGAGTGAAGGGTTCTATGCAGATTCTCTGCCCTCCGCACCACAGGGAGTCCACCAGGAGTCTCCGAAGCCACAGCCCCGAGGCAGGGGGCAGAGGAAGGCTGTATGATGGGCCAAGGCCTGCACAGGGGGGCACCATTCGGGAGGCCGAGGCAGGCGCGCCTACAGGCTGGGGGCGGTGCAGAGAAAGCCGGGCGCGGGCAGAGGCGTCGTCTTAGCGTCTCCGAGGAGCTGCAGAGAAGGAGACAAACAGCGAGACTGGGGCCGCGTCCGCATCGCGACCTCGGCCTCCACCCCGCCAGCCCAAGGCCGGCCTCTCCATCCCGACCTCGCTCAGCCCCTTGGTTTCCCGCCTGGCCCTTCCCGAACTGCCGCGCCCCCTTCGCCCCTCCGGATTCTCGATGCACCCCCAGCCTCGCCTCGCTCCTTACTCCAGCCAGCAAAGACCTGAGCATCCGGTCTCCAAACCTACATTCCTTCGCCATCCCAAGGACCAACCGCAGCCTCCCTGCACAACCACCAGGCGCAAAAGTCCTCTCCTCAGTCTTACCTCGCCTTACCCTCAGTGCACTGAGATCCCAAGTACCAAACAATCTGTCCCCGCCCTCCCCGCAACAAGCCGGTCCAACCAAACGCGACGGGGAAATAGACGGAAACGGAAATACGTCAGGGCGTAACATGCATGCCCTTCCACGCTCCCGCGCAGACCCAGCCCAGATAGCAATCTTCTACACGCCCATTGGTCGGTTTCCGTACACCATGGTAGCCCCGTTTTCAGCTTCGCCTAACATTGCTTCTAACCCATCCTCCAACAAGACTGAATGAAAGTAAAATAGTGTGTTATTCTGAGGAAAAATAGTGCAGGCGATGGACATCGACAGTCCTTCACGGTTAGATGAGAACCAGAAATACAACGGAGGTTAGATAATGGCTTCACAAAGAGTGCTGCCATCTTGCCCCGGTCCTCAGCCCGTAAGAATTCACTTCCTGTTTTAACCGGAAATGAGTTCACGATCAGCCTCGCTGGCGGATATCTTGGATGAGGGAGGACACAGTAAACCGGACGCAGAAAGTCCTTTTTCCGGAGTCGTTTTTCTCACTTCTCTGGGGTCAGCTGGACCCTTACTAGCGCCCTCTGACGGGGTAGCTCTGATGGGTAAGTGTGTGTCTGCGGCCTCCCGTCGTGCGCTCGCCTTGCTAGTGCGGCGGTCTCACCCCAAGCTTGTTCTGGTTCAGCTCGCATGGCCCGCGCGGGTTTCGCTCCTTCCTCCGACCCCCCTCACTGCCGCTCGCTAGGGTTTTCGCAGCGCAGGGCCACGAGGAGGCATCCTCAGCCCCAGCCAGGCCCCGGGACGGGTAAAGCAGGACTTAACGAAAAACAAGTCCTTCAGCCGGGGATTCAGCTTAGTGGTTCTGCTGCCTGCCTCACAAGCAGAAGGTCCCGAGTTCAATCCCAGGTACCCAAAACGGCTGGGGATTTACCACAGTGGTCCCGCCTCCTGCCTCGCAAGCACGATTACCCGAGTTCGATCTCCGGTACCAAAAACAAAAAAATAAACCCTTCTCAGCCGGGCGTGGTGGCGCACGTCTGTAATCCCAGCATTTGGGAGGCTGAGGCAGGAGGATCGCTGTGAGTTGGAGACCAGCCTGGGCTACGTGGTGAGTTCCAGATCAGTCTCAACTACATAGTGAGACCCTGTCTAAAAAAAAAAAAAAAAAGCTAATAACAATAAATAATAACCAAAAAAAAGCCCTTCTCAGCTTTGGGTAGCCCCTCCCCCCCGGTCTGGAATTCCCGACACCGATTATATTGACGACTATGTCCTGGGAGGGAGGTGCATGACACTGTTCTCGTACAGCTCATAAGACAGCCTTCTTTGAAGGCACAGTTACAAAACTTTCCCCTTGCCGTGTTCCGGTAAACTCACTTGCTAATCACTGGAAAAACCACCCCTTCGACAAAATGTACGCAAGCTGGAACTTCTTTTTTTCAACGCTCTTCCACTGGACAGCAGTCCATTGGGCCGGTGCACACCTTAAACCTGAAATAAAGTCCTCCTGGTTTAGTCCGTGGGACCCTCCAGTCACTCAGATTCCCGTGCAGTGAAGCATGAGGAAGGGTGGAGAGCGGGCTTCCGGGCCAGTGCCTGCACAGTCCAGTCTCCCTGGAGCGACGCAGCGAGTGGACGGAGTCAGACGTAAACCCGCTGGGCGTTGGTTACGGCAGTGGAGGCAGATTTTACTTAGTAACTGCTGCAGTCAGGTAGCCGGCTCTGTTCCCGCTGGCACAGACGCAGCTGTTTGGGCTTGTTGAGCAGGGTGGGTGAGATCAGGTCACTGTGGGCTGGCAGTTAAACGTGTTAGGCTCCTGTCTCGGAAAAGAACCATGTTCCATGATGTTTCTTAAAGAACAGTAAGGAGGAGCCTAGGGCGGAGGAATGCCATACACCGCCGTAGCTTCACTTCCCTGTAAACCCTGATGCACCGAGCCTGTCCCCCAGCCAGCAGAGGGCTGCCTCTTGGGTTGGGACAGGTTCTGTGCCACGGTGTCAGGCCCACGGCGGGCTTGTGATACCTCAGTCACCTCCACTTCCTTCCCCAGCCAGGTACAGACTCGGTAGCTCCAGTCAAAGCTTTTGGAGGGTGTTGCTTGCTGGTAGGGCATTTGCCTAACATGTACTGGTCCTAGGTCCAATCTCCAGCACCCAAAACTAAAACTTGTGGAAGGGAGGGGTTCCTCCACTCAGCCTGAGGCTTTGAGTTCCACTCCCAACACTCCACTTCTGCCATTCTCAGTAGCCACAGCATCCTGCACCCCCTCTACCAACGCTGGCCTCAGGCTGGGTCAAGAGCGGTCCTCTCCCTTCCTGAGGAGCCCAGCCCAGTCCCGTAGCCTGCACTGACAGCTCCTGCTTTGTGACACACCGTGGTCACCGCCACACACGAGTCTGATAGAGTCTGCTTCGTGTTTGTCACAGGTCTGTGGATGACTGGACAGAATGAGCTGGCGCTTCCGGCCCGCCCTTACAACACCTCACAGTACACACGGGGTTGGGGAGGTCTGTACCCTCAGGTGTCCCAAGGACTCAGTCTATTTGTCTTCCACACTCAGCTCCTTCCTCGCAGGTGCTCAGAAATGCGCGTTCAGGCCCCAGGCGTAAGGCTTACTAGGGGAGATAAACCATGACATCATTCTGCGTGGTGAATGCAGAAAGGATCCTGTGGCCTGGCAAGACCAGGGGTGGAACTCGGGACCTTGCACTTGCCAGGCAGTCAGCAGAACCACTGAGCTAAATCCCCAGCCCGGCAGACTTGATAAACGCTTACGAACTGCTGGGTGGTGATGAGGACTTTGAGGAGGGGCAGGGGCAGGGGCTGTGTTCCAAGCGGAAAGCACTGCCGAGGGTGAGGCATTACTCGGCTGGGCATACCCGAGAGGACAGACGAGAAGGGCAATTTGGAGCAGGTGAAGAAGGTCCCGCTGTCAGTCCTGGATAGCAAGCCTCCCGAGGCAGTTAATGCAAACTTTTTAAAAGCTTAAATAAAAATTTAAAAATACGAGCTTCATCGTGTTCGAGCAGGAGCAGCACACAGGGCTCAGGGGGATTCACTAAGCAGGGCACAACCAAAGGTGCCCTTGAGCTGTAAAACACTCCTGGGCGTGTATGCAGTAGGCTCTCCACAAACGTCTTGAATGTTTCCAAAGCCTGTCCAGAGGGAACGGTCTGGGAACAGAGGGTCGGGGGGCCCTGAGGGAGAAGGTGTCGTGGGACCGCGGTCCTGCGCAGTCACTCGCGGTCAGCCTGGGAGTCTGGTTTGTTTGCCGGGTTGTGAGCACCGCCCGGCAACCGGTGACGTAACGCGGCGGCGTGAGCGATTGGCTGGAGCTCGGCACCCGGGGTGGGGAAG